TTATGACTGGAGTAAGATGAAATCTTAAGAGTGGCTTTAATTTGTATTTCTCTAATTGCTAGAGATATTGAACATTTTTTTTCATATATTCATTGATCAAGTGTATATCATCTTCTGAGAACTGTCTGTTCATATCTTTGGCCCATTTATTGATAAGATTATTTGGGGGTTTTTTTTGGTGTTAAGTTTTTTGAGTTCTTTACATATCCTAGAGATTAGTACTCTCTCTGATGTGCATGTGGTAAAAATTTGCTCCCATTTTGTAGGCTGTCTCTTCAACTCACTGATTGTTTCTTTTGCTGAGAAGAAGCTTTTCAGTTTGAATCCATCCCATTTATTGATTCCTGATTTTATTCTTGCACTTATAGGAATCCTGTTAAGGAAGCCAGGGCCTAATCCGATATGATGAGATTTGGGTCTACTTTTTTTCTGTTAGGCACAGGGTCTCTGAAAGAATTCCTAGGTCCTTGATCCACTTTTGAGTTGAGTTTTGTGCATGGTGAGAGATAGGAGCTTAATTTCATTTTGCTATATTTAGATTTCCAGTTTTCCTTTTGGAGAGGCTATCTTTTCTCTGATATATGTTTTTGGTGCCTTTGTCTAGTATTGAGATAACTGTATTTATGTGGGTTTGTCTCTATGTCCTCTGTTATGTACCACTGATCTACAAGTCTGTTTTGGTGCCAATACCATGCTGTTTTTGTTATTATTGCTCTGTAGTATAGTTTAAGGTCTGGTTTAGTGATGCCTCCTGCTTCACTCTTCTTGCTAAGAATTGCATTGGCTATTCTGAGTCTTTTATTTTTCCAAATGAATTTCATGATTGCTTTTTCTGCTTCTATGAGGAATGTCATTGGGATTTAGATTGAATTGCATTGAATCTGTATAGTGCTTTTGGTAGTATGGTCATTTTGACAATATTAATTCTTCCTATTCAAGAACAAGGGAAATCTTTCCATCTTCTAAGGTCTTCTTTAATTTCTTTTTTGTGTTCTGTGGTTTTCATCATAGAGGTCTTTCACCTCTTTTGTTGATTCCAAAGTATTTTTTGAGGCTATTGTAAATGGGGTAGTTTTCCTAGTTTCTCTTTCAAGGATTTGAAAGACTAATGTATAGAAATGCCTTTAATTTATGGATATTGATTTTATATCCTGCTACTTTGCTGAATTCATTTATTAGTTCTAGAAGTTTTATGGTGAAATTTTTTGGATCCTCTAGGTCTAGAATCATGTCATTGGCAAATAGTGATAGTTGAAACTCTGGCTAGAGTTTTAAGAACTATGATAAATAGGAGTGGTGAAAGAAGGCATCCTTGTCTTGTTATAGTTTTTAAAGGATTGCTTTCAATTTTTCTCCATTTAGAATGATGTTGGCCTTGGGCTTAGCATAAATAGCTTTTACAATGTTGAGATATGTTCCTATTATATCTTATCTATATTGTTTCAGAGTTGGTGGGGCTGAAGGCAGAATTTCCATATTCATATATCCTATTGGTAGGCTTCAGCTTGAGCTATTTGCAGTTTGGTCTTAAGTACTTATCTCTTTCATGATGATTGTAGTCAGGAGAAAACATATTCTCCAATGTTGTTGTTTTTGACCAATTTAACAAAAGAGAGAATTTAGCAACTGGAAGCTGCTGTCAACTGAAAGAATTCTTTGAATATTTCTCTCTTTAAAAGTTTCTGTTGTCTTATTAAAGAGTTGTGGACAAACTGCACATTTTTGGACACTTTTTTATCTGGCTTATCCCATTTTGGTCCTTGGCACACTGTTTCCTTCCCACCTTTCACCATGGGCATCTGGTTCTGAGTCATGAGCTCTTTTCAGCCATCTCATGGATTCCCAAAGGCACTGCAGTTCCCTCAACCATCTAGCCAGTTCTTTGCAAGGAAATAAGACACCTGCCTATACAACCAGTTAGCAAAGTCTAAAAATGGAATAAATGATGATCCACATAGGTAAGTGCTGCTAACTTCCAAACCATATAAGAATTCCCTACCTGAGGCTCAAAATGAAAGTCAGACATGTCTCATGAAATTCTGGGCTCAGCCTCCATGGCTCCACTGGCATGTTACTGGGGGGAGTGCTGAAGCTGGAATAAACTGTGGTGTGTGTGTGT